CGATGTATTGAACTTCCATTTAAGGTATTTAGGGTATCGCTGCACCGTTAAATTCGCCAAGGCCCCGACTTCTAAGCGAAAGTGTCAAGTTAAACAAACAAAAAACAACAAGAGACTTGAGGAGGCACTCGGGTTTGAACCTGGGAACACCTCGATCTGCACTCGAATCCTCTACCAAAGAGCATCAATTTTTTTCTTTATTTTGTACGTACGTACACCACTCTTAAGCGTTTCTACAAGTGTACAGTGAGAACAGAAAGTAATTAGGGACGAGCTAATATGCATGGAAAATTGTGCATCAAACAACAACATTCTTGCTGTGTCATGATTTCCGGGTGGGTGGGTAGTATGTAGTTTTTTTTTTTCGGCAATACCCCAACTCGTAAGCCTAATTTTAAATTGACTATATCGTGCTGGCAATTTCGGGAATTCTAGAAACAGCCCGATTGCGCACGGATTTAAAACGAGAGCACACACACACACACACACACACACACACACACACACACACACACATATATATATATATATATATATATATATATATATATATATATTGTAACGCGGAGAAATAAGACAAAGAGACAACGCCTTTGCTGCAGGCCGGCTGTTCTTTATCTGACTTCGTCTTCCTCGGCTTCCGTAACCTAGCCTGCGCCCTTGCCTGAGCCCCACTATTTATTATCATTACACTCGGCCCCGACTGCGAGCCTCGTGGGCTACCGACAATGTCTCCGGTGGGCGGCATTGACTATTCCGGGGTGGCCGGGCTCGGCCAAGCTGATATTTCACATGGAAGTTTGTTGAAGGAGATTCCGGAGGCCGACACTGGCTGTGACGTGATGGTCGGTGCAGGCGTCGTCCACGATGGGGCCAACGCTGTTGACTTGGACAAGATGCCGCTAGCAGGAGATACAGACTCCTGCAAAGTGGCCGCGTTGGTTTAATCTCGTCGGTTTGAGCATCCTGTCGCAGTCGTGTTACAAATGCTGGAAATAGTCCACGCTGCACCGTCACCTGCTGCACTGAGCGTCGACGCCTGCGTTGCTTGCGGTGTGGCAAGGGGCGTCGGGGTGTCTTTGTAGTCATCTGAGAGCCGAGTTCAGGTTGCAGCTTGAGAGGCAACGCGTGCTCTTGCAGCACTGCCTTTGTCGGACTCATGCTCAAGCTGTTTATTCCTATAGTTTCACGTGCAGTAGAGCCTTCATTGTCAGATGACCTGTCACTAACCGGAAGTATTACCTTCTCTGGTAGGTCTTTGTTGACAGTGACTTTGAAGGAGGCGGCGCTTAGCGTGTGGCAGACGTCCGCACACTCGGCCACAGACTGACGTGATATCAGGAGATGTCGCTTCGAAGTGAGGGTCAACACTGTAGGGTTGTTCGTCCCAGGGTAGGTGGTTAAATTGGCTGTCGGGAAGCTGCAAAATACAGCTGAAGCCGCGAGGGTGGTCTCCTTCTGGGATCTATTCTCGGTAGCGGTCGCGTAAGACTGGGTGGTCGTGGAGAGGTGATGGTGACTCCGTCCAAAAGCAGCTATGAGCTTGTCACTCCAGTCCACCCAGGACGTCTGCCGCACGCCTTCGTATCGATGCCAAGCCGCGGCAGCATTCCGAAGGCGGTCTATGGCCATGCCCCACTTCTTTTGGTCCGTCCACGCTGCGTGATCTCCGACAGCGTTGACGGTTGCCACCCATTCCTTGGCATCGTCCTGGAAGCCGCGAAACTCCGGTAGCTCGAAGGAAATCGGCGATGGCGGGACTGCGGGCAAAACTCCGAGATGTGCCCACGCCAAGCAGTTCACTTGCTCTGATACCTCCGTGAGAGAACGCCCGAGATTGCGACGGTTTTCGGGCGAGCTTACCTCGAAGTTTTGTGAGGCGGCCGCAGCCAACATGGCATTGAGTGCGCACAATGTTGGCAAGATGGCAGGACATAGCTGGGAGCTCGACGCTATGAGGGCGTTGGTCGTGACGCGGAGTTGCGCGATGGTATGCTGCAGCTCCGCTGCGCTGTCGTGTGATCCGCACGAAGAGCCAAGGCCCGCCTCTGCGGAGGATACAGTGACTGCGGTACTCGAGGTGGTACAATTGCTGACCAAGGACGCGTGGACGGCGTCCCTTGGAAATCCAGCTGTGGTAGGAATCGTGGACATGGGTTCCAGGGCGCTGGAAGCGTCAACGACGTTCCCAGGCAAGCGGAACCCGTGTGATGAGTTGTGACCTGGTACTGTGGCGTAGATGAAGCGGTCTTGCGCCGCCGGGTAGGCCTCGACGCCGTACACGGTGGGTGCTTGAAGCGCCGACAGGTTGCCAGGTATGGAGGAGGCATGTACGCCATCCCTAGGTGAGAGAGGCCCGTGCGCATGGTTGCCGCGACGTGTCGCGTCCCAGGACAAGTTTCCCGGAACCACAACGGAGGCCTGGACGCCATCCGTCGGTGCTGGGATCGATGCTGGCCGCGACGGACGCCTTGCGGGTTCCATCAGCGAAGAAGCGTGACGGCGTTCCTTATCGTGAACTGGTACCGGTAACGGGTGCTGGAGCCGCCGAGGAGGCCTTGACGCCGTCCCCGAACGGTGGTGTCAGTAAACAGCTGCCGAGGAGGGCTTGACGCCGTCCTCAAGCGACGCTTACTGCGGCTGCACGTCGGCGGGCGTTCTGGATGACGAAACCGAGACGTAAGCCGTTTTCTTCGTCGACTGCGCCATTGTAACGCGGAGAAATAAGACAAAGAGACAACGCCTTTGCTGCAGGCCGGCTGTTCTTTATCTGACTTCGTCTTCCTCGGCTTCCGTAACCTAGCCTGCGCCCTTGCCTGAGCCCCACTATTTATTATCATTACAATATATATATATATATATATATATAGGAAAGAGGTGTATACCCGAGGGCTCGTCCTTTCGTGTTTTGACACAATATTAGTGATATCTAACAGACAATAATGCCAAGGAGTGTATAGCTGAAGTAATTAGAACAAATGTAATGTAAATAAGAAGAAAGAAAAGTGGGTGAAAAAATAACCTACCGTGAGCAGGAATATATATATATATATATATATATATATATATATATATATATATATATATATATATATATATATATATATATATATATATACATATATATATATATATAACAGCTGAAAATGGCGGATGTTTCCTTTCTAAAGGCGCCAGTCCAGCAGCTAAAACGCATCGTGCGATATTGACTGCACTTCACTGATAGCGCATCGTCGCGTACTGAGGCAACCCTGAAGAGGGTACTGGCAGTACGGGGAGATATCGCCACCGGCAAGAAACACGGTTTTTTTTTATTTTCTTGTCTGTTTAAAAGGCAATTTGAGCTTTCCTGGCACTTCATGTGTTATCACTGCGAAACGATATAGTCTTACAGAATGACCGCGGTAGCTGGTTGAATCAGCTCTGCGCTGCTAAACTTGGGAAAGTGGCAGTGTTGTCAGATCTGCTTACAGATTTGATAGCCTACCCCATCCCCCAAGAAACGAAATAATGGACAAAAATGATAAGAAAGCAGGATATCTTTGAAATCGCCATGCGCACTTTTCCTGGCAGCTAGCAGTCGCTATAGAATCACTAAGCAACCATTCTTGTATACATACGCGAACAAGCCGAAGTCGCAATACACATCATCATCATCATCAGCCTAAGCCCAGTGCAGGGCAAAGGCGCCTACCATTATCCGCATATCAATTCGGTCCTATGCTTGCTGCTGCCCGCTTTATACCCGCAAACTTCCTAATGTTATCTGCCGACCTAACTTTCTGTCTTCACCTTACCCGCTTGTCTTCTCTGGGAATCCTGTCAGTTACCCTTAATGACGAGCAGTTTTCGTTCGTTCACGCTACGTTCCCTGCTGCATGATCATTTCTTCTCCTTGATTTCGACTATGAAGTCCTTGACACCCGTTTGTTCTCTGATAAACCCTGCTTTCTTCTTGTCTCTTTGGGTTAGACCTATATTATATCAGTTTTCCTTCCTTGTCCTTAAGTTGAGACTTTTTGTGATGCGCTAGTTTTTCTTCGTAGTTAAGTATCGATAAGTACGGTGATACACACAGTGCGCATTTAACTACAACTATATCGACGGTTTTAGATACCAAAACAACTATATAAGATCTATATGATCATGAGAGTCGCCATAGTACAGAGGGCTCCATTAATTTTAAACATCTGGAGTCGTATAACTGGCCCTTTAATATCACAGTTGGCGGGCCTCTAGCAGCATATTGTTCTTTCACAAAGAAAGACCCTGTTAGTGCCAGATTTGTGTTTTTGAAGAGTTATTTACTCGGCAACGGCGATTGTAGTGGCACCAGCACGGTTGTTCTGAAACTTGCGTTTAGGGGAATCCTAAATAAGTGCGAATTCGTGACCACCACATCTGTGCGCTCTTTTCACAGCGCCATATTTGCAAATAGAAAAACGTTAAAGCGGTTTTGTTTAGGCGAATAACGACTGCATGCTGTGATCTCGAAAGAAAGAACAAAAAAATGTACGAGTATTCCGGTCAATTTTCTTCGCCTTCCTCCTTGAAGAGTACCCGGTGGCCTCGAAATTCACTCAATCTTATCAGTTATCCTCAAGGAAGTGTATTTTCTTCGTAAACGTAGCCTAGTTACACTGGTGTGGACGGTTTTATAATCGCTCGTTTTGTGAGTGTGTCGGTATACCACGCCATCATGGCGGTCTGACCGACTGATAACACTTCGACCGAAGTTACCGACAACGAGGCCAGTGACCCGATACGTGCTACGCGATTGTATATGTGACGCGCTGGGTTGCAGATTGTCTTGCTGTCTACATTACTGGCGTTTGAAGTTTCTAGTTGGAGTTAGCTGCGAAAAAGTGAAGAAATCCGGTGGTTCTGCAAGATACCGTTCCGAGCCGCAGGTTCTTGAAGCGCTTGCTGCAAGTGTAGCAGCAGTGTTGACCGACTCACTTTATTCCTCGCTGCCGCAAGACAACCGACCGAAGTGAGGAGTTCCAGAAGAAAAAGCACAACATACAAACGAACAAAAAGCGCGCGAAATACGTGGCAACGCTACAGGTCTCCGAAACAAGCCGCGACCACCATGGCCACAAAAACGTGGCTCTACGCCGTCCTGATCGGTGCCGCTGCAACCACCGCCCTGAGGTCCCTGCCAAATCCGATGCCAAGCGGCGATAAATTTCACAAAGCGTGCAAAAATGGTAAGCACTTGCATGTTAATGAGCAGATTACCATTAACCACGCCACCACTATCATAATTTATGTAAAATATGTGCGTGAGAGAGAGAGAGCACGAATTAGAAGGCAGAGGCAGAAAGGTCGGCTTGTCCGCTCTGCCTATACTATATTGTACACACGGGAAGAGGGGAAGGGCAAAACAAAGTGATGAAGATGATCATAGGTAACATTGTTAATAAAAAAGTACGTAGCGAGAGGAAGAGTATTGAGCAGACGTCATACAGCTGAGTGTTGACACCAGAAAGTAAAACAAAATGCAGGGTGTGGTAACGATGTCATACGCGATGAAGGCTCAGAATCTCGACAGTTAATCTAGCTTAGTCCTAAAACGAACACAGATACGCACGCACGCAACCACACACATGCAAACTATATATTTATATATACATTACAATTAAGTCTAACAATTTTCTCTATACATTCCTTGGCGTTAGCGCCTGTTATATGTCACACACACACACACACACACACACACACACACACACACACACACACACACACACACACACACACACACACACACACACACATATATATATATATATATATATATATATATATATATATATATATATATATATATATATAACCGCACATACGTAGCTATATACATGAAGTATTTCATTCTACCGACCTATCGTGATATCTGTCCCACAAGTTATGTGACCTGCTTTATACCTTGTTTTTTTTTATTTCTCTATGTTGAACTACATAAACAGAAAGAAAAGCAATTTGCTACTTTCGCAACATTTATCGAATTTAATTCATGTGTCAAGGCAGACGCTGAAAAAATCATAACCCACGAGACTTTCGATCAACTTGATTGATATATATGTCTCAAACCCTTCTATTCGGCAGTCTTCGATTATTTCTCAACGTGTGACGATGCAGTATGGGCCACCGAGACGTTCAAGAAGAACAGAAGGAAGTACATTCCTCTAGTGGTAAGTGTCCTGGACCCTTGTGGGTCGCTACGGGGTTAATTTGCACGGAAAGTACGAAAACAATATGAGAGTGAGCACCGAAATGACCTTTAAAAGGTCAGGGCCCCTGCACGTAGCGGCCGATCGCAAATGCTTTCGTGACACTAATTGCTCAAACGGAAAGGAACGTCTTGCTAATCCGTGGGTCATTATTATGTCGGTACATTACAAGTTATCGTCGATTGAATGCGATTTCACTCGATTAAACCCGATGCCACTGCCGCGACGCCGATGCCGGCACCGACACGTACACCGACTCCAGAATTGCAGTGAAACGAGCTCTTTAACGCAATCGAGTCAAAACACACGCACACAAACATACATGGACCCGCACGCAGGGCATTTACATCGAAGACGTTCCGAGGCGCCGCCTAATCGCAGTTAGCTTTCTTTTGACACGTTAGGTGTATACGGTGAGGTTGATGGCGCAAGATTCGTTCTTCGGAAAGAGTTCGGTAGTCCAGTTTGACAAACGTATTGCAAAGGGCCTGTCTCTGTAAACAATACCGTAGGCACCAACACGAAATAGGTTGAACAGTTTTCAACACTGCCACAATGGCCATATTCTGTGGTGTCGGCCATCCCTAAGTGGAACGCGTATGCGTGCGCAAATGCGAAAGCCAGGGTTGTCACTGACTTTCAAGTAAAAGTCGCTGAACGACGAACAGGAAGTCGCCGAAAGTCGCCATTTTTCTTGAAATATTGCCAAAAAGTCCTCACTCTAGATGATTTTGCCATGCCTAGTAAAAAATTGGCAAAATATGTGTAGCCCCGTACAATAGAGTACTATCGATAACCCCTAAATTATATCGCCATTTTTCTTTGCCAGTCGCAGCTTACTATGTTAGTGCTTGGTTGGCCTGGTTCTCCGACTATAGGCGTGAGATGCAGTTGGTGGCGCATGAGCTACATCCTTTATGAATGGAACGATCATGATAATCCTTCCATACAATCCACTGAACACCAGAAAACGGAAACAACTACTTCGAAAGTGACTGTGTACCCTTCACAATGCGCGTGCACCAAGCTTTCTGCGTGGCCAAGCTTACGCTATACACATCAGCCTCACTCAAGTTGCCGAAGGCTATATATATATATATATATATATATATATATATATATATATATATATATATATATATATATATATATATATATATATATATATATATATATATATATATATATTATGAAGTCTTGGTAGTCTTGGCTGCGACAGTATATATATATACTATATATATATATATATAGCGAGATAGATAGATAGATAGATAGATAGATAGATAGATAGATAGATCACATGCATTAACGTACGAAAAGGCACATGAATGAGAAATTTACATTCCTATTTTACTTTTATTTACAGCCGAGAAGCGTCTTCCCGCAAGCCGTGGCGGATTGCCTAGAAAACTCGTTATCCGTATTTGAGTGGGAGATAGTTTGCAGTGACGCAATGACGGTAAGCATATAAAGGGTGCTTTGTAGTTGACGTTCGTAGCACCGAAGGGAGCCACAAACCGGACCACAGGCGCTCACATCTACGAAAGGAATATATTTTATCCGCACTAGACAGACCATTTCGCGCAAACTTCACCGCTTTCAGATTTATCTGAAATCTCCGTCACGTCAAATGCATCTGAAGTGGGCTTATGGGTTAAATTCTGAAATCGGAAGCCTTAAATATGATCATTGACAACCACGCTATCGGCTGCACGGCGATAACAAACCCGAACGTACTTCAAGGACTCATAAAGCACGCACAAATAACTTTTTTCTAGCGTTTCGAATGAACGCCCTCATCGAGTTCAGCATGCCGTCACAATTAAGAATGCCAAACGCGGCAGAGCTACAAACTGCTGGCAGACCGCAATTCTCAATAAACTGTCCCTTCTCCTCACCAAGCTTTTCTGTAATCCAGAGCGTTGGTCATGCCGTCAACATTTACGTCTCATCGTGTCACCCACAAAAGTGGCCTGCTGTGTCTGCCCGTAACGCTCATCCATTTATCCTCCTCGCACGGTGAGGAGGACCACTCGGCCAGCAAGAGAGATGAGCTAACAAACCGAGCCCAGAGAGAAAGTGAGCGTGAAGGGCTTGGGGCCGCTTTACGATTATCAAACGCGAGTAACTCCGCTACTTCAGCAACGTTTCGAGCAATTGTCGCTACTACGCACTTGCTGCAAATATGCGCTAAAGTGGAAAACAGCAACTAAATTTAGACGTCTATAGGTGGTTTAAGGGCCCTCAATGAAATTCGTCACTGCAGTGTGTTAGTTGGTTCGTAACATTAATTATTGCGTAGTGCGATTTCATCAGGGATCACAGATGTGCAAAAGACAGAGTGCCGGTGCATTTAAATATATATATATATATATATATATATATATATATATATATATATATATATATATATATATATATATATATATATATATATATATTGCGTTTTTGTGAAATAATTTCTGTTGCAACACAACACTGTATCTTAAAGGGCCTCAAACCATCTCAGAAAATATAAAAAAACAGAGCGCGTTAAAAAGAGCGCTGCATTGCGGCGCAGTTCATGACGCCGCCAGTTTGCTTGTGTGACGTCAGGATGAAAAAGGTTTTCGATTGGTCGATATACGAGATACATCTGTTGCTAATTCTCGCCTGCTCTGCCTTGCCACGCGGTCGCGTGCCCGTTCTGCCTCGTCTCGAATTACTTTCGTGCGCGATAAACAGATTACACTCCGTGAAATCCGCCACTGACGCGAAGTCTGACTGGCTCAACGTCGGGATTTTGCGCCTGACGTGGAATCCTGAGTGGCTCAACGCATAGTGCTGACATTCCACGTGTTTTAAAACGAAATGAGTCGCGAGGAGAAACTGCATTTGTGGGAAAGAGTAGTGAAGGCCAGGAGAAAACTACTCTCTCACCTTTGAACCCCTTGTGGTTTTGGGGCACTTGAAATGAAGGCTGGCAGACTTATAGCTTACGGAGGCCCACGACTGTATCTTAAAGCAGAGGCTCATAGACACACAGGCTGCTGCTTACTCTACAAAAAGAGCCTTTGTGCTTCTCGTTGGCTTGTGAAAAATATAACCATAACGAATTGATGATATGTGAGGTTCAACGTCCCAAAACCACCATATGATTATGAGAGACGCCGTAGTGGAGGGCTCCGGAAATTTCGACCACCTGGGGTTCTTTAACGTTGATATGTGGGGTTTCACGTCCCAAAACTCTTTAACGTGCACCCAAATCTGAGCACACGGGCCTACGACATTTCCGCTTCCATCGGAAATGCAGCCGCCGCAGCCGGGATTCGATCCTGCGACCTGCGGGTCAGCAGCCGAGTACCTTAGCCACTAGACCACCACGGCGGGATAGCCGTAACGAATTCAATGAATATTAATAATATCTATAAGTAAAGTTACTGCAATTACTCTTTACTTGTAGTGAGAGGGTGTGACATCTGACTATTGTCATGTTAATGCTAGCAATGTTCCTGGTACGCGAACACTTTGTTCTATAATTTTAATCCTCAAAGCCCACACTATATAAAATCCATATCTGCAACTTTGAATGTCCATATTGAGTCCGTTTTCTTCTATTCTTATTCTTTTTGTTCTATTTTCAGCTTAGGAAGGCTTTGAAATGCTATGGGAGAACTATGATGAAAATCACGGTAAGAGAATTTCCTGTGGGGTTGGTTCAAACATTCTTTGAAACACCTCAAGTTTCAAACTATCCATGCACTATATGTAAAGAGCTAAAACTTTTCATGTTGCATGTAAAGCTAGGAGCTACACGGTTATCTTTATTTGCATTATTTCACATGCACGGGCATTCTTTTTGTCGGGGCTTACAGTACTTGGAAAATAGGGACAAATTCTTTGGGAATTTTTTGTATTACTGGTAACTTACACTGAAACGTGCTACTTGTGATTGACAAAATTGCACAAGGCACTCATTTTCCTGCATCTGACGAGAAATGTATGTAACAGCGCACGTACGAGATCCGCCATGTTGCAAATTTTAAAGGAACTCTAAAGACAACTATTAAGTCGACGTTGATTGCTGAAATAGCGATCCAGAAACCTCGTAGAGTTACTTTTGTGCCAAGGAACGACTTATTTTGAAATGAAATCACGTTTTAGTGGCCCGCATCGGGTTGGCGCACTTCAAATTACCCGCCTCCAGAAGCGGACCGACTCTCGTCACTGTTGCCTTGCCCAACGTTGCCCGGTTTGAGTGCGCAGTTGCCGACAACAGTAGACAGAACAAAAGCAGCAGATTGATTGATTGATTGATATGTGGGGTTAAACGTCGAAAAACCACCATAGGATCATGAGAGACGTTGTAGTGGAGGGCTCCACAAATTTCGAACTCCGGGAGTTCTTTAACGTGCACCTAAATCTGAGCACACGGGCCTACACCATTTCCGCCTCCATCGGATATGCAGCCGCCACAGCCGGGATTCGACGAAAGCAGCGGAAGCCACAGCAGCAGCAATGGCAATTGATCAATTTCCTGCCATTGGCTTCAAGATAGCCAACTTTTTTTTTGGTTCAACTGCGCCCCGCTAGATGGCACAGCCTGTCCGGTGTAACCAATAACATAGCGATATAACGATCTAAAGAGCTAAAAAGCCGATCTAAAAAGCCGTTCCTTGGCACAAAAGTAACTCTACGAGGTTTCTGGATTGCTATTTCAGCAATCAACGTCGACTTAATAGTTGTTTTTAGAGTTCCTTTAAAGTTTGCAACATGGCGGATCTCGTAAGTGCGCTGTTACATACATTTCTCGTCAGATGCAGGAAAATGAGCGCCTTGTGCAATTTTGTCAATCACAAGTAGCACGTTTCAGTGTAAGTTACCAGTAATACAAAAAATTCCCAAAGAATTTGTCCCTATTTTCCAAGTATACTGTAAGCCCCGACAAAAAGAATGCCCGTGCATGTGAAAGAATGCAAATAAAGATAACCGTGTAGCTCCTAGCTTTACATGCAACATGAAAAGTTTTAGCTCTTTAGATACATAGCAATAACATAACGATATTTTGGGAGAACTTCAGAACGGATTTCGAGTCGACAGGCGGTTGGACGATAACCTGTTTGTTCTCACTCAGTGTATAGAAATATCTAAAATAGAGAATAGGCCCTTGTACGTGGCTTTTCTAGACATCACTCGGGCATACGACAACGTTAATCAGGAAATTTTGTGGGATATATTGAAAGGAATGGGCATGGGCGACGACTGTATACAGCTTTTGAGGGAGATATACCGAGAAAATACAGTTTGCATAGAGTGGGAAGGAATGCGTAGCAAAGAGAACGTTGAGGTTAGCAGGGGTCTGAGACAGGGATGTCCTTTGTCCCCACTGTTATTCATGCTGTACATGGTGAGTATGGAAAAAGCGCTAGAAGGTAGCAACATTGGTTTTAATCTGTCACACAAACAGGGCGGCATGATGATTGAGCAGAAGCTTCCAGGTTTATTTTATGCGGACGATATCGTCTTATTTGCGGACAGTCGAGATGATATACAGCAGCTGGCGAATATATGCGGAAGGGAAGGTGAAGCTCTTGGACTAGGATTCAGTGTAACGAAGTGTGGTTTGATGGTATTCAATGATCCCTGTGATCAGACGGTGTCCATACAAGGCCAAGAAATACCGAGGGTAAGTGAATACAAGTACCTTGGAGTATGGGTAAATGAGAGTGATAGATACATGGAGGTACAGGAAAAAGCCTCGGCAGCAAAAGGAAAGAGGAATGCGGCAATAATGAAGCACAGAGCGTTGTGGGGATACAATAGGTATGAGGTGCTTCGAGGTCTGTGGAAGGGTGTAATGGTTCCAGGGCTTACTTTTGGGAACTCAGTGGTGTGCATGAGGGCAGAGGTGCAATCGGGAATGGATGTAAATCAAAGGACTGTGGGACGCCTCGCGTTGGGTGCTCACGGGAAGACGACAAACGAGGCTGTAAAGGGCGATATGGGGTGGGCAGGTTTTGAGGCGAGGGAAGCGCAGAGCAAAATAAGGTTCGAAGAAAGGCTAAGAAATATGAAGGAGAGTAGATGGGCAGAGAAGGTGTTCCGTTATTTGTATAGGAAGAGCGTGGACACACAGTGGAGAAAAAGAACTAGAAGACTCACTAGTAAATATACGGCTGGTATTGTGAGCCATATGTCAACAAAGAGCGTTAAGGGAAAAGTCAGGGAGGCGGAGAGGATTTACTGGATGGCAGCTATGGAGAAAAAAACCGGCTTTGAGTAACTACCGAAAGGGCAAAAATGAAATAAGGAGGGAGGCATTTTACGATAATTCAAGGGGAAGCGCTTTACTGTTTGAAGCGAGATCGGGTTGCCTTAGAACGCGTAGTTATAAAGCAAGATTCAGTAAAGAAGAAGAACAATGCACATGCTGCGGGAAAGCTAAGGAAACGGCGGAACATGTTCTGATTGAATGTGGAGATATCCACCCAGGTGTACGTTTGGGCACGAACCTACAGGAAGCCTTGGGTTTTAGGGACAACAATGGAAAGCTGAACACACCCGCGATTGAAATAAGTAAGAGACGGTTAGAGTATTGGTGGCAGAAAATTAGAGAGAAAGGACAAAAATAAATATTGGAAAAATAAAATATGGACAGTGTGCCGTAAATGGCAGAGAACTTAAGCTGAAAATTTACCTTTTTTCCATTAAGATAGAATTTATCGAAGTAGAGGCATTAGGCCAACATAAAAAAAAGGGAAAAAAGATTTTTTTTTTTTTGTCGAGCCTGGTGGCATACTTGTCACCACCCCGTTATAAAGGGGACGCTCATAGCATCCATCCATCCATCCATCCAACCACGCGAAAATTAGATTTTGAACCACTCGCGCCGTTTTCCACAGTAACGTCCGGCGGTTCTTATTTCCATGAATCAAACAGAAACGAACAATTAGCATTTTAATGCGTCTCTTCATGCATGGAGCGCTCTTTATTTAGTGCAGCTAGATCGATTACTAGTGATTATTTGTAGGCAGTTCATCTGACGTCGTCGGTATCATATTGAGAATGCCCTATACGGTGGCGCATGTGTTTTTGTGCATTTATTTACCTTAATTTCTCAATAAGTAGGGCACAGCTGTTGATAGTATTGTCGTTTTACATGTTGTCCTACATTGAGCTTTCACTCTGACGTAAATTGTTACTTGACTTTAGTGTCCCTTTACCTACTTAGACAAAAATGAACGGGATGTGCCAGTTTATAGAATCAATGTCTTTTAATCACTGTTATTGGCTTCCTTTTTTCGCAGCCTCCAGATGGCATGGAAGTTGTTCGCGAACTAGTCACCGTATTCGAGGTGAGCTGTGCACCGAGAGGCTTCATGAGTTATTGGCGTTACCTTCTTGTCAACTTAAGAGTTACCTCTTCAGAATTCTAACCAACACTAACCTTGCCCAGACTGAATATGTGCAAAAAGCTCTCACGGTGTAGTAGACCAGTCTACGTAAAAACCGCGATTGCTAAATCTTAAGCGCCGAGCATACCAGAGTGGTCAAATGGTCTTTCTACTTGGAAATTCGCCCCGAGTCTGGCAGTCTATAAGAAAAGCTTAACAAATGCAGTCTATAGAAAAGCTAACAAATGAAATGTATGTATTCGACAGTTGCAGCGAATATAACCGGTGTGATTGGGTGCCAAATAATGTTAGTGTAATTGCGTGGCTTTCAAGAGTGTGGTGTGTATGTGCTTGTTGTGCGTTTATGCGTGCATAATCGTCATTTCAAAGAAGCTTCCATGATCGTTTTTCTTTCATTAACTCTATATGAGTATAAACTATGAACCACCTACCCGAAGGAAAACTTGATGGAATGCGAATCAGCAGCGGTGCGCACAGCGTTGAGCCGGTTTAAACGGGCATCGACGCGGGTGCTGGAAGAACGGTTTGAAGAACGAATCTCGGTGTATCGTTTACTCGAGTGAACGTTTCTTTGAAACGAAAAGACACGAAAGGCGGGTGGGGTTTGCTGTAAGTTTCATCGCAGATAGACTGCTCACTTGATGTGCACTCGAAAGTTGCGAGCGGTGGAGAGAGTGAAGTAAGAGAGATGACAGGCGGCGAGCGGTGACAGGCTAGGGAGAGAGTGACGTCAACACACCCGCACTTCGAGGCAAGCGTGACCTACTTGGCACCACTCCAACACCTGCAGCCAGGGGAGCACGGTGCGGACTGAGGGACAGTGGCACTCCGGCTAGTCAAAGAGCTGCTTGGGATCTAAAACGAATCGATCAACGTTGTTCTGTAGGACAGTTCCTTAATAGAAAAAAATACCTAACCTCACCTTCAGGTTTGCCCGCGATGAGCATGCATTTTGTTAAAGAAGACAATCAGACACTGACCAACTTGATGACTTCTTTCATTGATAATAGTTAGTACTTATGTAATAGTCACTCCAGCATATGAGAGGTGCTACGCCAGACGCAATGCTTTAGTTTGCGCCGCCTTAATTAAGTAACAATATTTAAATCGTCAGAATTGGCATGCCCTAGACATGACAACGGTAAGTTCGTGAAAAGGTCAAACGAACGTTCGTTACGCCAAATTCCAGATTAACTGCTTACGCGGACAGCCTCCCCCTTTCATATACGCGGGTGTCACGCTGGCACCTTCAATTACAATTGAATCTCAGGTGGGATCGAATTTCGCGACTGAAATCGGCTCGCTTCTACACCTATCAAAATTAAGTTCCTCACTTAAAGCAATATAACAATAATTATTGTAGTACGCTTGAAGGTACGGCGTGTTTGAATCAAAATACGAACTAAATAAACGGCACACAAGACAGTACCATGAAGACGCACCTACAGCGGTACCTTTCCAGCAAATGGTTTATTATCGGGCAGCACGTATTTTTATATACACTTTCTTGTTGTTTCTTTTTTCCAAACAGCTGCGACTAACACGTGTGAGAGAAGAAACAATTGTTATTAGCATTTTTAAAACAGCTAACCATGCGTGAGAACCTTATCACACAAGTAAGAATAGCTGCAACGTGCTAGTTACAACCATGGGCGAAAAAAAAGAGTGTATAAGAACCGCATGGTGCATGATGATAAACCAATTTATGAAAGTGCGGCGCATTGTGTGCGTATCAATGTTATGTGTGCCGATTATAACAGCCACTATTGTTATTCAAACATTACACCACTTCCAAATAAAAGGAACTATGTGTAGAATGCGAATCAGCGCATGGGTCGACTTAAACTTCCGTTCATCACGGGCTCCTTGCCCGATGTTAACACGTTAGTAAGTGGAGCACACCATGAATTCGCTGTAGTTTCTGTTTCTGCTGCTCGTCCCGAACTCTCGTTGGAGCACGCCACGCGGGTTCATCGCCGTGCCACGCGGGAGCGGGTGCGTTCATCGCGCGTCTGCAGCAGTGTTGCGGAATGGGCGCCTCCATTCCACTCCAATTCCATTCCGGGGAATTAGGATTTGCCGCAATTCCATTCCTTTGAGTTTCTCGGAATGCGAAAAAAAAAACTTGGCTGCCACCGTAGTTCCGCTTGACCGTGGTTACGCGAAAAATAGAGAAAAACTTCAGAGGAGAACAGTCAATATATAAGGACAAACTTGTAGGGGAATTGCGTATACATGTATTGTGCTTGTAATCAGGCAAGCTATTTAAAATTGCTGCTTTGTTGCTAAATTATCGGCTCTGAATAACTAATGTTTGATGTTATAAAAACATCACGTAGACGACAACGTGCTCCATTTTCGGTAAAAGACGCAATTCCATTCCTATTCTATTCAGGGCAAAAGGCGCTTAATTCCATTCTCATTCCATTCCAAGCCAAGCATTGTCCCCATTCCATTCTGGGGTCACGAAAGTGTGGAATGATTCCGGAATCACTCCAATAATGGAGTGAAAATTCCGCAATACTGGTCTGCAGAACCTGGTTCACCGACGCTATCACGTGGTTGCCGAGAGAGTGTAAGGGGACAGTCCAGAGTATCTTACGCAGCCACTTACGCAGGCCGTACGCGCTAGCGCATCCCAGCGCGTTCTGACCACAGCATCTTACCCGGCCCCTTGCACAGGCCATGCACACAGGTGCGTGAGCACTTTCGGGCAGTGCCTGGGCAGCTGTTGCGCATGCTTAGTGAGGGTGGTTACGCTACACACAACCGGATTGGACTCTGCCACTAGCTGCTTCGCATCTAACATGGCTCTCGCAATGACGAAAACGCCACCGCGATTCATCTGCAGCGTAACTTCACCGTACGTACAGGAAAGCCGAATTTGAATTTCGCATGGAATGTGGATTTGGACTAGCACAGCTGGGGGAATCAAAACACAACTGGTAGCAAGTTATGAACAAATATTGCTTATCTGCTCACTAAATATTACCTATACATGTCACCAGGCGTATTCATTGTGGGTGCTTATTTTTCTTCTTGGGTCGAATTTCAGGAGTGCATGGACGGCATCATCAATTCTTCGATGACAACTACGAAGACACCCATGGCATAAACCATGGCTCCGACCATGGCACCAACCATGGCACCAACAAAGAAAAAATAACAATGTCAGTAATAAAGATATAGCGCAAAGTGTAATCTGAAAGCTTTGTTTTTTTGCAGGAGATGGTTGGTGAAAACAAGCAGTACGTAAGGTACTTGCAGTACGTAAGGTCATAAGCAATATTACAGAAAACTAACAGAAAATGACGCCAGGCAAAGTCTAGGGGATGTAAATAGAAGTAGTTGTGAAGTAAATTCAAACGAATGAAAGTGGACGAATAGAAAGACAACTTGCCGAGGGCACGGACTGAACCTACTGTGACCTTCGAATAACGCGTCCGATGCTCTACAAACTTAGCAACCTTGGTTCCTACCCCCCCCCCCCCTTTTTTTTTTACTTTATGGGGTATATTGTATTGATTGTTAGACAGTTAGAGCATCATTCAGGTAGAGCATCGGACACGTTATTATGAGGTTGCAGGTTGCGTCCCTGCCCTCGGCAAGTTATCTTTTCGTCACCTTTTCTTTCTTCAAATATACATAAACTTGCTTCTAATAACATCCCCTACTCTTTCCCTGGCGTTTTTTTTTGTCTCTTAGTACTCGTCAATATTGTGCCTAACTAAGGAAACGTGCCCATATTGTTATATTTTCCTAAGCAACGTATTTCAAATACTGCAGCCCAATGCAGGACTATTGCAGGAGTGGAGAACATTTCCCTAAGTAAGGAACAATTGCTGGTGTTTACACGAGCTGGAAGCCATATGGGCCAGCATGGATAAAAATACGGATTAATAGAACCAGACTTTTAAGAAAAGCAAGAAAAGAGAAGGTAAAGAGAAGACAATGCCCCCGTGCACGAGAAAAAACGTTGATAAAGGTGACATGCAGCATGTCAATTATTAGTCACTTGTCCAGGTTTTTTCAAAACAAAAAATAAAAAGAGAGACTATGACAGCATTTACAGTTTCACAATGAGTGTGACAGAAAAACAGTCCACTAGAAAACGCCCAAAAGACGCGCAAGCATTGCTGCCGCATCCGTAGGCGTAGTTCAGCTAAGACCTCCGAGTGAGTGTTGTCACGTTCACAGCTTGGTGTCGTATAAAAATGAATAACGGTGTATACTGTGAATATTTCAGAAATATTAAGCGTGTTGTCTGATGCACGAGGTTAAAAAAAAATTGGTCCCGTATACGCATGTTTCACTACAAATGTTGTCGAAAAACGATAGTCTGCGTGTGGAGAGAGTGAACAAAACGTTTATTTGATGTTCTGCGCGAGTAAATCAGTGAATTATACTCTGAAAGCGCTGCGTTAGAGAGTCTAGGTCCGTGCAGCGAAGGCGAACAAGCGCATCGAGGCACGTTAGACACAAGCGCTATCTGGCAGTTATCTTCGAAAACGAAGGAAGGCGTTCGCGCCCACGGAGAAATATGCGCGCCAGTGTCGGAGGCGATAAGGTGTAGAACCAGGGTGTCTACCGATTTGATATTTCTTAATTCCCTGACTTTTCCAGGTTTTCTATGATGATTAAAAGTAAATTCCGTAACCGCCACGTCTGCTTGGAAAAGTGTGCACTGGAAACAAACCCTCGATTGGTAAAAAAAAAAAACAGCCGCTCGCATAGAGTTTCATACAATAAAACTTTATGGGCGCTCCATACAAAATCATAAACATAATTACCAGACGCACTCAGAATGTACCGAGCGCGTGCGGTAAATGTGAAAAACTATGTAGATGCGTCACAGAGTGGTCGGGGTATCGCGTGAATGTTTCGCAATTGGATACGGTTTGAGAATGCTTAGTTGTTATTTCGTCTTTATTATTCATATTTATTGAATAAAGGAGAAGCGTTCCTTTCAACGAGTGGTGGGACAATGATGTTAGGCTGTGCCCCACTACTTGTCGAATGTACTGTCACAGCTGCTGGGCTAAAAAAAAAAAAAAACTTGTTTTTTATCCAGTGGCCGTAGTACTGGTGCATCCATCGCATCTACTCTAGTTGATTGATATGTGGGGTTTAACGTCCCAAAACCGCTATATGATTATGAGACACGCCGTAGTGGAGGGCTCCGGAAATTTAGACCACCTGGGGTTCTTTAACGTGCACCCAAATCTGAACACACGGGCCTACAACATTTCCGCCTCCATCGGAAATGCAGCCGCCGCAGCCGGGATTCGAACCCGCGCCCTGCGGGTCAGCAGCCGAGTACCTTAGCCACTAGACCACCGGGGCGGGGCCATCTACTCTAGTTAAGAAGAGTGTCAAGTTAAGCGAAAGCCAAGTAAAGATGTCCTTGACTGAATTACTAACACCCGATCCAGCAGCGACTTATATAGGATGGCCAATGAACGGTTGTGCAGCGCGAGCAGCCGGCTTTTACTAGCAGACGCTGCCAGCGTAGGACCTTGTGAGGCAAGTCAGAGGGGAGTGGGGGAGAGAGCGACAGTTGGCACAAGGCACAAGCAAGCGCCGTAGGGGTGTAGTCACCACCCCCGAGGCCGGATTTCCGAGTAGGTGCGACTATAAACTGCTGCGCATTTAAAAAAAGCTTCCATCATCCCTGCACCTGGACTCAAGATACAGACGACTGTAGGTGCATACGCTGAACAGGAGTGATGGGACGCTTCTGACAATGTACTCTCGCTGCTTACGTCACGTATCTCGGCTTACTTAAGTATGCTGTCCCTTTCTGATGGCTTTTATTGTGAACAAGGCTCTTTCCCATATCGGATGCTGAAATGTTAGCCAACGTTGTGTTCCATGGGTCAGTGTATGCTTTCGCGTTTAGACTAACAAGCAACAGTTATGCACTGTCTTTTTTCTTGACATCTCTTCTAGCAGCTCACTGCAGTTACAGTTGGAAGAGATACTTTTTTAAGCTCTGATCAATGGTAATGCTTATTTTTGCGGTGGCCGCCCAAAACTGCTGTCATTTTGCATGACCTGGCCAATTTTTTGAGAAATTCCCTCACTTTCCCATGAATTTCCAGAAGGGTCCGAATTCCCTAATTTTTCCGGTTTTTCCAGGTTTTTCGGGTTGGTAGACACCCTGAGAACGCAAAGCGACGGACAGGTGTCACTACCGTGTCGTCTTAATAGCGTTTTTTGAGCATCGCGTTGCACGGTCAGCACAGCGTGAATAACGCTACTATCCTTAGAATTACTTATGTGTGGCTCTTCTAGTATAAAGGCAGACATACGAAACATAGACGTGTTGTTATGGTGCCTCATGTATGTGCAATAATAGCTTTTTAATTGAGAATCACACAAGTATGAACGCTAAAACTTGAGCAACATTGGTGGGCGCTGCGGATAGGCTTGACCGTTTAGGGTATCACTTGGTGTTGTTGGAGGTATCGTTACGGTGGACAAACAGACAAATAGTTTTCATTATGCGCGTTAGAATTTTCGTTTACAGGTACAAACTATCCCTGTGGAGAATTTGAATATCTATTAAGATATATGAGCACGTCGTGAGAACGAACAATGTAACACATAAATGTCTTCTCTGTGTGTATGATTTTTTGAGAAATAAAATTCTTGAACAAAGACTAAAACTATTGCGTCGAAGTAGCTCAAGGAGGACTGTAGTGCTTGAAAAGTCACACCAAACATAACAACGCTATTAAGAAAGCTGCCAATGTATGTGTACTGTATTTAAAACTTCGCAAGACAACTTGGGGGTATAGCTCAGTGGTAGAGCATTCGACTGCAGATCGAGAGGTCCCCGGTTCAAACCCGGGTGCCCCCTCATACTTTTTGTTTGCTCTTTTTGTGTATGTGTGCACTTTTTTTTGTAATCTACGCAATCAATTACCCCTAACGCTAAAACGAAAAGGCATAGAGAACAAGTCAGCGTACCGATGCAGCTTTCAATCTACCAGCATGTACCGTCACGAAACAATCTACATCGCACAAAACTACGCGGTACGTGTACGAGATAATTTGGCTAAAACGACGTCTACTTGCCCTAAGCGATAACGCATAGCTTCAGTACAATAGAAAAATCTCGCTTTATATGCTTAATGCGAGAACGAATGATACCATTTGCGAGCGACAACGTTCAATGCCTGCAAGTCTTAGAACGGTCTCGCCATCTACCGATGGTCGTTGCAAACAGTCGACCTATTTGTAGCAGGCGCGCGTTTTGAAAGAGTACGGGCGTCAGTTTTCATGAACTGCTGCTACTTTTGACGTGATGGTGCGCATCTGTAAGTGTTTATATAATACATGTAAAACAAAACAAAAACAACTCTAATGAAAAACTAAAGCGATGAAGATTACGGTCAAGTCTGAACCACTTTGGTACGTCCGTGGTTTCTCGACGGGGGACAAAAATGGCTTTGTCCCCTTTTCTTACTCTCTTGTTTACGTCTTGCGATAAGAATATCAAAGCCGTCTTGCGCACAAAAACCAGAATATGATTCTGAGGCTCTTCAAAATCTGCGGCGCCGGAATAACTTTGAACTCAAAGCCACGCAAGTTTCTCACATGCGTGTTGATTTTTTTGCTTCTCTTTGTTTTGCTTATCGTACTAAGTGAAATGCAGACGCCAAGACCCGGAATCGAAGCCGCGTCCTGTAGCTCTATCGCATAGCAGCTTGGCCGTTTAGCCAACAGAGGGAATGGGTTAATTATTATTATCCTTTCACCTCGATAACGTACACCACTTGACGCGTGCAGAAAGGTGGAATCACGTTTAATTAAAACAAGATTTTTTTTTATTTGGTGCTGATAATATCGACTATTGGATTAGAAAGAGGCGGGGTGACAGTGGTATCCCCCCCCCCCCTCCCGATGTTATAAGTAATCCTTTGTATTTCAAAGCGCAATATACAAACACACGCACGGGAACCCTTACAGATAAATCCTTCCCCTTCCAACAAAATATCTGCCTTCGCCCCTAAAATTTGCTTATCTCTCCCGTACTATCGGTATCCTCTTCAGGCCCGGCTGCGAGCTGCTATCAATGCAGCTCAGCATGTCGGAAGAACCTTTTCGGCAGTGCACACATAAGGCATCTGAAATAGCCTCCATTACGATTTAAAAAATAATGACAAACAAAAAAGTGGCCCTGAATGAGGCG